ACTTGATTGCCAAACGCTACACCCAGACATATGGTGTGGATTACTTTGAGACTTTTTCCTTTGTTGCATGTCTAAACACTGTTATAGTTCTTATTTCTGTTGTAGTTAGTTGTGATTAGCTTTTGCACCAGCTGGACATAAAAAATGTCTATTTACATGGATACCTACATGAGAACGTATATACGGTAAAACCTCCTGGTTATGTTACATTTGGTAAGGAACAATTAGTGTGTCATTTGAATAAAGCACTATATGGTCTGAAACAACCTTGAATAACCTATAAGACAAGAGAACACCTAGGTGAACCGATGACCCGATGTGGCCGCCAAAGGAACTCTGATGCTTAAGTCAGATCACAAATCGAAGAAGAATATAGAGTAAGTAGGCTAGCTATGTTCCAAAGGGACTCGAACTCTTGGTTGTGATAGGATGGACCTCATCACCAGCTTCTAGATATTTGGGGTGGAGTTAGACTAGGGCACTTGTTCCTAGATCCTTATCATTATCTCCTGGTTGTTCGTAGTAGTATTGTACTGGGACTCTTGCTCCTAGGTTGATCCTTAGCCCCTATGGCTATGGTTAGGTGCTGCCGATCAACAATTGGGTGCCTTGAAGGCTGCCGGTCATCACTGGGGTGCATTGTGGTGTGCCAGTTGGCACTTGAGTTCATTGTGGTGTGCCGGTCGCCACTTGCCACAATGGTTGACTCCACGGATAATACTGTAATTTTTATTAATTGAAGGATATAATTTGGAGACATCACCAAGGATATGACAGTGAAATGTATTTAATGATGAGTCTCATTGTAACATTAATAAATTTATTATTATATCATTGGTGACATCTCGTTATGCCCTCAAATTATGTACATAAATTATGTCCCAAAAGCATTGCTCTTTTTATTATGAATAAATAAGAGTATAGGACAACATAGCTCACGCATTATTTTCTATTTCTTTCTCTCGCTTTTTACTTCTTTCTCCTAAACTTAAAAATTTCGTCCAAGGTTTTTTCCACGTTTTCTCAGCAACCAAACAGACCCATAATCTGAAAAAACATATAGAAATACCTTACCAGCCACGGTGATAAGACCCATATGACGGATTGTAGTGAAAACTTCGTCTCCGAAATTGAGCTGTCAGAAATCTAACACGGTTATCAACGAGGCCTTTGTTTGAACCCTTAGAAAGGATGTTGGGTAACAATTGCTTTACAAGAATTGGGTTAGAGAGAAATCCGTGAATTTTCTTTGAAACGGCATTCAGTGACCGCCATGAATGTGAACAATCAGTGTAGTGATTGAAGAAATTACGGGGTTGGTGAATATGAGAGCTGTGGAGGAAATTTGGGTTTGTTTTAGAGGGAGATATTGAGGTCTCTACGGAAATTGAATGGCTATTAGATAGATTTCTAGGTATTTTTGAGAGTAGCTTGAGGGAAAGTAGTCTCTGCATTGTAATGGTTTTAGAACTTTTCAACCTTGAAGTTCGTTAGTACGTGTCGGGGGTGAACAGTCCATGCTGGGAGGGTTATAGCCTGATACCTTAGACAGGGCGGGCAGGCCACAGCGCAAAAAAAAAAAAAAAAATTAGGGTTAATATCAAATTACATCTCAAAATATTGTTTAAATCTCAATTTATACTCTCAAAGATTAAAAATCTTAATTTATACCCACAAAGATTGAAATTGTTATCAATGCACTAATAGCCATTAGTTTGTCATTTAAAATTAAATGGATAAATTATACTTAAACCCCCTCATGTTTATTACTTAATCACTTAAACCTCACATTTAAAATATTACACATGCCTCCCTTTAGAATCCAAGTATGACTACAAAATTTATTCTAATTGGGCATCCGAATAATAATTTTTAAATGATGTATTACATTAGATATAAAGAACATTATATAAATATTTATATTATATTGGACATTCAAATAGTAAGTTTGATTTCGAACTTTAAAGTATAATGAGCCCATAAAATAAAAGGTAGTATCAAAATTATAATTTTTTATTAAGATAAAATCATATTTTTTAACAGTTATATTAATAGATATCAATGACAAGGAATTATGTGTTACGTGTGCACAAACGTCAGAAGGTATAAAAGTAGTATTCTAAATGTGAGATAGTTCAAATAATTAAGTGATAAACATGAAAGTATGAAGAAATCTAAGTGTAATTTATTCATTTAGTTTTAGATGGCAAATTGATGGCGGTTAGTTTCAGTTGTGTATTGATACAAATTGCTATAGTTGAGGGTTTAAATTGATATTTTGAATCTTTGAGGGTGCAAATTAAAATTTAAACAATCTTTTATGATGTAATTTGCGAGTAACCCAAAAATTTAAGATAGATTGATCAAATTTTATCTTATATGAATTGAAAATTTCGAGTTGAATTCAAACTGAATATTTAATATTTTTAATATTTAAAAAAATTAAGAAAAAACAACTTTGCATATGATAATTCATATCTAAAATAGATGATAATAAAAAGTTTGATTTAAATATCCGTTTCAAATGTAATATTTTACCTAGTTATAAAAAAAATTACTTCTGAAATTTGAAGCTTTATCAAATAATCTCTTATTTTTTCATTATACACTTACATATTTAAATACACCAAAGTTGGATTGATCACAACAGAATCAAATAATGGTACATGTGAAACCTAAATCTGTGAACTATGACAACGATTATGTGTTCGAATTTAAATAATCGGTTAAAAACACTTGTTTCAAGTGATATTTGTCATAATCCCTTTCAAAAGTGTGTTTTAGCAAAAGAAACTTGAGAAAGAAAATGAGGGAGCGAGAGATGGAATCTATCAATGGCGAGAGGAAACGAGATGGTCATATTTCTAAGGCCTCTAAAAAGATTGAGATTGGTTAAATTCAAGTCTAAAATTTTTAGTCGGGAAACTAAGAAAACAGGGTCCCATTGAACCTCAACTTAATTGAGAGAGAAGGTTAGTGGTATGATGAGAGTAGGTTCAAAAATTTTATTTTGAACTTCAGAGAATTAGATTTCATTAAACCTAAGTCTAAAAATTTAAGTAGAACCCTAAAAATAGAATTGAGCTTAATTAAACTTGCACTTAACAGTTTAAGACCCTAAAAAATTAGAAGCCCTAGGAAAACATTTAAATGGCCTAGTCTAACGTCTAGCCTTGATTGGAGAAAATATACAAGCTCGAAAGAACTTTGAAGAGTAAATGTAAACCCAAATTTGATCACATAGTCAAACCACCCTTACACAAATTGCTGGTCATGCTATTAAGATTCAACTACATCATCCCATCACTCTTGCACAAAATGATGTCTTGAAATTTGTATGGGGTGATACATACATTGGGAAAATTTCACCCTAGATAAGTGTAACAAATATATGATACTATCTTGCATGATATGATTTGGATTCTCTCAAATTGATGGTTCTCTAAAATTTTCAAATTCATTCATGATGTTAGGAATTTAATTAGTTGGCAAAATTCAGTGAGTCACCCAAGTCGAGTCTTGAATATATTGAGTCAAGTGTCTTTAAGATTGAAGATCACAATTGAGTTATGGAAGATGTTGATCTATATTCTAATCAATATCAGGGTCCACCTCAAAGTTAACATCTAACCCTGTCTCATTCTCCAAACCCAAATTTGAAAAATGTTAAATTTAGGGGTGGGCACAACTACCTACTAGAGAAAACTCTCTTAAGCCTAAACAAGGTTTACCAAATTGTATTAAAAAAATAGATAGATTACAATTTCAAAAATAAATAGATAAATTTTGAATCAAAACGTGTAAGGAATGATGATCTCGAGCATTTTATGCATAATCTTGGAAAATAAATCAAATAATACAATTCAAGATAGTGAACAATTTGATTAGCAAGAATATCCGAAATACATCTGGTCCACAACATCACAATCACAAATCCTATCGATCCCCATAGTGCTTATGCTCGTCAACTTACGTACTTGAGATACTATTGTGTTTTGAATTATGGTTTTTCAAATGATTCTATCATGCTATGAATTTTACTATTTAAGAAACCTAAAACTTGGGATCGCAACAATGTCACCTTTTTTTTCAAAGGAAAATATTTTTATTTTGAAAATCTGAGACCTACCTGTTTTTATACACTTTTTGTAAACCTCGTGTTTGGTTTGAAAAAATTTTCCTACAGAGCTTGTTTGCTCACCCCTTCATTAATATTTTTCAGATTTTGGTATAGAGGAAGGTACCACTTTAGGTGACTATATGGAATTGAAGTTTAAGGCGGATCAAGATGTGGATCCGACTTTCAAGGCTTATAATTTTGTTTATCTCCTATTAATTTCATTGATTTACAATGGATGAAATGTTATTAATATTATTTAATTGGATGAGATATTTGGTTTATTAAAGGTTTTGGATGTAACCTTGATGATTGAGTTTGGTCCCATGAAGCATATTGATAAGTTTTGCAAGCACGTGGACATTGATCACAATTTCGTTTATGACATCTGAATGCAAGCTTTCCATGTGAATTATATATATTGAGAAGCAATATAAAAGTTTCTTCCTTCTTGCGTAATACATTTGTTTATAAGAGGATGCTCATAGATCACAGTAAAGAATCATTATCATTTGTCAAGGATAGATGTCTAATTCCCATTTAACTAGTTGGGATAGCCCGTTGCTTCACCAAGATAGACTTAAAGTTGTGATGCGATTTACCAAGTTCACTTACCACTCATGTGCATTGATACTCCCTTCATGTGAGAATACAACAACAATACAAATCTCTATATGAGAAGATATTGCCAATAATTTTTGAGAGGTAATCATAAATCTTAATTAAACTTCTTGAAAAATTCATAAATTACATGTGAAACAATTTTCAAGGCTTAAAGTCATTTAAGATAGTGTATAAAGATATGTGTGAGAAAAATTGAGTAATTTTTCCTTCACAATGTTGAATGTAAAATGATTGTTTACAAGAAGGTGCTGTATGTAGTAAATTTATGTGCATACCTAAACTATGTTGAATAGATAAGTATGGGTACTCGATAATTTTTTGTTGTAGACCCCAACTCCATCACAAGGAGTAGGGAAAAGAAGAGCTGATGTAACTAAAATCCTTTTGACTGCAAAGAAATTCTAATCAACATAGCTAGCACCTCCTTCATGTTTGGCCTACATTGGGGTGCCTCTGTTGTGCACCTTATGCCAATCCCAAGCAACTCGCACATCTCCTCTGCCCCCTCTGCAAGCCCATAAACCAAAAGTGACATATGTAAAGTCGTGGCTCCACTAAATCCCTGTCGTCCATCTCTTATGATCCGTCGGGTCCATTCGACTAGACACTCCTCTTCTCCATCCACAGCTCGCCTCCCAGTTGCTAGCTCCATGACTAGCACCCCGTAGCTGTACACATCACCTTTTGTAGTCGCTTGCCATGTCTGCCCATACTCTGGTGCAACATAACCAACAGTTCCCGCCACCACTGTGCTAACATGACTATCTCCAGCAATAACTACTCTAGCAAGACCAAAATCCGTTACATGCGCCTTTCCATTCTTATCTAGTAGGACATTGCTAGCTTTGATATCTCTATGCACAATGGCAGGAGAGCACTCGTGGTGTAAAAAGACCAAGGCACGAGCTATGTCAATTGCTACATCAATGCGCTGCTTCCATGTGAGTCTTGTTCGATCAGAAATGAGCTCCTCCAAGCTCCCTCCTTGCATGTACTCATAAACCAACAATTTCTCCCTCCCTTCAAGGCACCATCCATAGAGTGTCACAAGGTTTGGATGTGGCCAACCGAAGCCATTTCCACTTAGAACTTCCATTTCAGCTTGAAACTCTTTTTCACCCTCTACACCCTCTCTTTGTAGCTTCTTCACTGCTATTTGTCTCCCATTAGGCAATAACCCTCGATATACTGTTCCAGACCCTCCCCTCCCTATAATTCTATCTTCTGAAAAGTTCCCTGTAGCCTTCAAGATGTCAACATGCGTGAACATTGTTTTCTCCAAACAGATGACCTTAATGGTGTCTGAAGATGATGTACTTGAACTTGACACTAAGTCATCTTGGCCTTTTGTTTCCCCGAAGAAATACCCTGGTATGTCTGCTGGGCTTTTTACCACAAGGCAGACTATAAGTGTCATGACCCCACACACCAAGAAAGCCTGTAGTAAAGCAATGAACACCAAACTCGCACCAACGTTTGCAGGCCTTTTTGTCTTTCCTTTATTGTTTGTGGTTGAATTACTTGCAGTGTTGTCTATAAAAGCTGGTAGGTGTAATAGTGGATCACCCAGGAATGACCATTTCTCAAATGTGACCAATTGCCCTGTCGTTGGTATTGTGCCGGAGATGTATGGATTGTAAGAAATGTTGAACTTGGTCAGATCAGTTAAGTTGCTCAGGCTAGTCGGAAATGCAAAAGAAAAATTGTTATATGACAAATCGAGGTTTTGCAAGCACTTGATGTTCCCAATTTCCATTGGAATGGCACCTGAAAACTTGTTTTGCGAAATGTTTAGGACTGCAAGTGGCATTAGTTGAATCTCTAGGGGTAGTGTACCATAAAATTCATTGAGACCCAAATGCAGCATGCTGACGTTTTGCATCTTACCAATTTCATGAGGGAGCTCACCAGACAATTGATTACCACTAAGTTGAACATAACCGGACACCTGAAATGTTCGAATATTTGTACCTGGAAGACAAACAGGGAATAGACCATAGCCCTTGAGCAACCTATCCCAAAGGCTTCTACAACTCTTTCTGGTAAGGAGTGTGTACACGAAACTGAAAGGAGGGTAGTCGGCTGGTATCCACCTCCTCATCAACAAGCACTCCCCTGAACCAACAGAAATTTGACCATTCCTATTGGATAGGAACGTTGGTGATGCATTCATACCGATGTTTGTCAACTTTGGTGGAATTGACCCGGAAAGTCGATTGTTTGCAAGGTTTAACCATAACAAGCTACTACAGTTCCCGAGCTCTGGTGGGATTTCACCGGTCAAGCTATTGTTTGCAAGCATCAACCATAGAAGGGATTTTAAATTCCCAAAACTAGATGGTATCGACCCGTTTAGCCCGTTGAAGGAAAGATCAAGGGCCTGGAGTCCTAAAACATTTCCATACTCTGGAGGTATAGTTCCTGTAAATTGATTATAGGCAAGAATCAAGAACTTCAAGCTCAACATGAGGGAAATATCAATCGGCAGTGGACCAGAGAATCGGTTGTAACTCAAGTCCAGCCGAGAAATGTTTTGTAACTTGAGAATTCCTGACGAATGTAATCCCCCGGTATATGCATTCGAATGCAATACAAGAAATTTTAACTGTGCAAAACGCCCAAAGATTTCTTGTATTTCTCCTCCAAAATTGTTCCTACTTAGATCCAAAAAGGTCAACTTGCTCAAGCCCAGTAGGGACTCGGGAATATCCCTGGAAAAACTGTTGTTGCCCAGGTAAAGCGCTTGAAGACTGGAAATTGATCCTATTTCTTGTGGAATTGGCCCACTAAAATTGTTTCCCCACAAATTCAGCATCGCCAAATTTTTACAATTTGAAATTTCCTTTGGAAATTCTCCAGAAAGAAAATTCTCTGACAAGTCCAAAGCTTGCAAACTGCAATTTTCTGTGAAAGTCCATGCGGGGACAATGCCAAATAAGTAGTTCTCTGACACAGAAAACTCTTTTAGCCTTTCAAACCCAAACGGTATATTTCCACTCAAATTGTTTGTGCTGAGATCGAGATGCTTCAAATTCTGGCAATGATCAAAAGAACTCCGAAGCTCACCAGTAAAATTATTAGCTGAAATATTCACAACCACCAAACTGTTGCAAGTTCCCGGGAAAATCAACTGAATATCACCGCGAAGCCTATTGAGGGACAGGTCAAGAATTTCCAAGCTGTTGAGTCCAGTCAAGTTGAGCTCACCACCAACGATGTTGTGTGACAAATTCAAGGCCTTAAGGTTTCGGCACCGGCCTAAGTCAGCAGGAATGACTCCTTCAAGCGTGTTTTTGGAGAGATCAAGATGGGTGAGCGAGGTCAAGTCCGAGAAGTTTGGGAATATGAGGCCTGCTATGTTGTTGTTCGAAAGGTGTACTCCGGTGACACGGGTGCCGTTCACATCGCATGAAATTCCGGACCAGTTGCATGGGGATGAGTCCTGCGGGTTCCATTCTGTGTATATCCCTCTATTTATGCGGTTTTGTCCTTCAAGAAATGACCTCAGTTTTAGCAGTACTTCTTTATCAGTCTCCAATGAATTTCCAGCTACCACCCTACCTATTGACAGAATAAGAAACATTATGAAGTACTGCAGATGGAGGTAAACATGGACAATCACCCTCGGACAACTCATATATAGGTACAAAACATCAACTAGCATGATGAAAATTATGCCATTTATGATCTACTAAAGCATCTGGAGCAAGGAAAAAGCTGATCAATTACTAATTAGTCTCTAATATAGAAACTAATTAGCTGATACAAGAAAGATTTTGATAAGGATCCAAAAAGAATCAGATTTGAGAAGAAAGACAAATACCTGTAACCAAGATAAAGAAAATGAGTAATGCGACTTGATGAATATGATCAGTTTCCTCGCCCGACATCATTGATATCTCCTTATTTTCGGCTAATCCAGGGAATCAGATGAGGTTGTGTAATTTCATGATTGAGGTGAATGAGAGGAACTAGAAAAATGTGAATATTGAATGCATGAGAATGTTGTTTAATTTAGGACGCCTGCAGATGTACCAACCCAAACTCAGAATAAATGCACGTCGGACAAATTTTTCAAACACGGATATTGAACATTGATTATCACTCATAAATATATGTCATTTTACACAATTTTTATTTTATTTTATAATATCTGTTGTTTAATGAAACTAAAACATAATTAATATTTGTTCTTTCAAATTTATCCTTTTATCCCTGTTTTTTAATAAGTGCTTAATAAATTAAGTGTAGGCTAATTGTTTTTCATATTTATTTTCTTCTTAATACGTATTGAATAAGGGTATTTAAATCTTGTATAATTATTTTTTACTCATATTAGAGCTATTTAATAGTTTTTTTAATTCTTGTGTAAAAATCTTAAACGACAGATATTTAACAACTGAGGGAGTATGATTTTATGGGTGTTGTTTAGTGTTGAGGATTTGTTGCAATTGTATGTTCCTTTGGTAGGAGTAAATATTGAATATATCAGTGATATTATATCAACAATGTTTATATGATATCATCAATTAATAATAAAATATTAAGTGAATAAGATCAACCTCATTTAAATAATTATTGTTTATATGGAAGAAAAAGTGGTAGTTATTTTTTCTTACATAGAGAATTAATTATTAATTTTTGTGAATTAATTTATTTTAATTCTATTAATCAATCGTACTATACCAATATTATCACATAATAACACCGTTATAGTTGAATATTAGAGGAGGTAGAGAACTTGGAAATGGGAAGCTAAAGGAGCAACGAACGCCGCCCAAGTTGACCAGCTTGTTTATGCATGACGGCTGGGATTTGAATCACCAAGTCATAGATTGTTTAGGCTTTTATGTCTGCTTCCTATTCGACTTCTAGAAGCCCACGACCAGTATTCATTTGTCAATTTGATTTTAATTTATTTTATTGCTGGGTGGTTTGATATTCGTCAATATCCATGCCCAGTTTGTACATTATGGTTGATTGTGAGATGCAGAAGAGAATCCGTCCTTTCCTTGCTTTTTCTTTGTGATTGGGTAAAATTATCGGTTTAAATGTGAGGTTAGGTCATCATTATTATGTGATGGTGCTAGTCAATTATAAATTTTTTAGAAAATTTCAGTTCAATCATATTAATTTATCTTATTTTCAAGAACATTTCATTTATTATAAAAAATATCACTGATACTTATTTTAATTTATATTTAAATATCAATGACACCCCCGATTTTTAAATCATAATTTATAACAAAAATAAATTATTTCAAATACCAAAAATTATTCCTACATAAAATTTGAACTGATTAAAATTTATTTTTCACACATTAAAATTCGAGCTGATTAAATTTTTTTTTCTACATATTAAAATTTGTTCGAGCTGATTAACTGTTTTTTTTATGTATTAAAACTTGAGTCGATTAAAATCTTTTTTTATGTTTTAAAATTCAAACTAATTTGAACTCTACTTAAACTGTTAACCCCAATTAAAATTTGTTTGAAATTAATTAAAATTTATATTTTTTTATTTATTAAAATTCTATTTAAGTTGATTAAAATTTACGTTTTACGTATTAAAATTTTAGTTAATTAAAATTTATATTTTTTATATATAAAAAATTGGGTCAATTAAAATTTAATGTTAGTTGATTAAAATTTAATTTGAACCTAGAATAGAATTTTAATTGACTCAAATTTAATACATAAAAATAAATTTTAATTAGTTCGAATCGAATTTTAATACGTAAAAAAAATTAAAAAATATAGGTCTCATTCAAGATATATCTATCTAGAGGGGGTGTGGATGAAATTTTTTTTAAAATATATCATCGACAATTTAGTAAAACTGCATTCTAATTAACACAATTAATCTGAAAAGGGTGTCAACGAAGATTCAGAAAATAGAAGAGGCATCCTTGAAGATATGATAAACTAGAAAGAGTATGACTAAAATTTTTCCTAAATTTTTAAGTGGGCGAGATGAATCCATTTTTTCACAAGAGTGGACATTATTTCACATGGGTATGATAAGTTCTTAAGTGGAATTCATCTTGTCGGGAAATTTATTATTGAAGTACGACACCATAACAAAAATGACTTAAAATCACCATTACATTGTAAATTTTGTTGCGAAAGTAGACCATTAAATCAATGAATCTTGTTAATTTTCTTTTTAATGGGATCTATTGATCAAAGGATCCACGGCCATTTGAGATGCAATTTGGGATTCCTAATAAAGAAAAAAGGAGGAGGAGACGCATATAAGAAGAATTTGAAAAACAGAAAAGGGTGCTGGTTGATTTAGTCCAACGAAAAATAAAAAGTAATTATATTAAAATTCTTATTTGACGATTCAGATCTTTGTTGAAATTCAATAATGGCTATAGGCTTCAGGATTCAAAGCCCGACCACCGATCCTATGGCCAAACAGGTCAAGACAATATTATTCGCATAGATACTTATCACTTCGGTTTTCTTTCACGTCTCCCATTGTTTTTGTTCTTTGTTTGACCATCACCTAACGGCATATACATTTTATTCTTGAAAGTTAGCTGTTTTAAAAGCTTAAATTGTTAGAGAGGGATGTAACATACTCCTTCCGTTTCTAAATATCTGTCGTTTTACACAATTTTTTTTGTTCCATATTATCTGTCATTTTTTAAAACCAAAGCATAATAAATATTTTTTTTTTCAAATTTACCCTTATCTCTATTTTTCAATAAGTGCTTAATAGATTAAGTGTAGGCTAAGTGTCTTTCATATTTCTTTCCTTCCCAATATGTATTGAATAAGAATATTTTAGTCTTGTGTAATTATTTTTTACTCATATTAGAGTTATTTAATAACTTTCTTAATCCCTGCGCAAAAATCTTAAACGACAGATATTTTTGAACGGATAGAGTATTTACCTACTTTCCCCTTCAGGTGTGGCCCCTCTTTGAGCGGTTCTTCCACGTGATTGTTTTTATTTTTTTGTAGAGAGAAGGCCTAGTGAGATTTAAACTCAAGACCTATAGACTTTGATACCATATTGAACAACCATCTACTCCAAAACTTAAGTTGCTAGAAAATGGTGTAACGTAAATGTTTATTTAAAATGCTTGAACTAAAATAACTTAGGTCAGAAGAGGAAGAGAGACAAAAAGTACTGTCGCATCTCCAGTTTCTGGAAAGGCCACATCATGCATAAAGGAATGTGGATTCTATCGACCCAATATTCCCTCCAATATGCTAACAAATTGAGGGACCACTGTATTAAAACAATATAAATAGGAAATCCCTAGCCTAAAAAAATAATATGATTGTAACCATCTTCTTACTCAAAAAAGCAATAGAAATCCTCCTAACAAAAGACTCCATTAGAGTGAAGTAGACAAACTTTTCAACTGATGAACCACTATATTTCTTGCGATATTTAATTTTTGCTATTAATTCATTTAACTCACTATACACCCAAACAACATACACATTTATCCCATCATCCCCTTAAATATATATATATATCTCTCTCTCTCACACACACTCTCTCTCTCACACATTCTAGTATCTTGAGAATCATCAGTTTGACGTTGTTTATAAGAATGATTGTCATCATCTTGCTCTAAGAATCATTTTTTGAGTAAAATTGATTGATGGTTACTACTAGAAATATGAGTCAGAACATGCAAAATCAACAGTGCCCAATTCCACAAATAGCTCAAATTGCTAATTACACCAAAAGTGAATAATTAAACCTCCCAATATGTAATTTAATTACAATCATTCAAGTCTTCGAAAAAGCATATAAATAATTTGTCTTTAAAATTTTTATATTTTCCTTGATGAAGTCGATTTACCGCCAATTTTTACTCCAAGTTTAATATGCACCTAAGAGGATAAATAGAGAGTGAGCTTGGGAGGTCTAATAAGTAATTTAAAACACAATCTATGAAGTTAAAGAGTGAAACAATAATTTATCAACTTACCAATAATCAATCGATGACACATGAATTGACATGAATTAATACCCCTTAGGGCCATGAACACGTATCACAATTAAAACATAACACCGAGTGTACCTCACACAAAAGTCAAAAAAATCTAAAGTATTTCAGCAAAATGAATTATCATAATGATTAACGATTAGTCAAAACAAAAATTATGAGCGAATAACGAAACATCAACGATTGATCGAAATATCATATCGAAATTCAAAACCAGTCGATACCACAATTAAAATACGATAAGAACAATATCAATAATATACTATTTGCAAAAAAAATTAAATGAATGTATATTCTGTTTCGGATAGACAGCACCCTTGATAACATATATAACTATAAAGAGAATCAAACAACTCTCATAGTGCTAGCTGACTCAGAAGTGTGACAAGTGGCCCCTTAAATATGACTCAGCCACACGGTGGATTAGTGTTCACCATGCTTTATTATTATTTTTAGAGTAATAGTAGATAGATTTAAAAACTAGACTTAAAAATTAGACTTGATAATCTCAACTATTGAATATGTAGTAGGTCCCAATAAATATTGGGACCCATAGTGAAATCAATGATTGAAATTATCATGTCTATTTTTTAAATTTACTTTTTAAGAGCAGGTAGCACTACTCTTATTTTTAAGTTATTTTTCATTATTTTGTTCTCAGGTACCCACATTGGCCTAACAAGTACTACATTTTTTGTTTCTTTCTAGCCTTCGTAGCCGCCATATATACATCGTGCTTTGTGGCTCTTGGTTTTTCTTTCAATAACTTTAGTTAGTTTTTTTTTACTAGATCAATTCGATCGTTATAGAATTTATAATAATCAAATATTTTAACAATTAAATCATAACTTATAACTTGATCCCAAATGAAATTTGTATAATTTCTAAAAATATCACGTGATCTATAAAATTTTAATTATTTAATCTATTTCAAATAGAGACTCGGTTGTTACATGATCCATTCTCCACCTCTTCCTCTAATGTCGAACCTCCCTCAAACAAAGGCTCTAAAACTTATCAGCAA